TTGAAATGTCGACTTATAAAGTAAAGTGAATAATCGTTTAACATTTAAAGCTACTTTTATCAAAATCATTAGTTTGAGGGATGCGCGAATTCTAGTGTAAAGACCAAAATTCGTCCAGTATTTCAGCAAAGTCCTCGAAAAGCAAAACTCTCCCATTGAATGAGTTTCTCGTCCATAGTGTCAAGCAAAATGCTCATAGAAAAATGAAATTTTCGAATTCATGAAATTTCGATTTTATAATTTCTCTTTGACTATAAAGCGGCCGAGTAACAGCTGGGCATTCCTCTTTTTTTCTGAGATATAACGACTAAAAAGCTGTTCAGACGTCTTCCTGCTACAGAGGAAGTCGACGCTTCTGTTATGCGTTCTATCAGCACATACCACCATAATCGAAAGAACGATTTCGACTCCGTTTATCAAATTTCATTTTTAAAACGCTCGCAAGTAATTATATGCGCTGGTCGGGATATATCAAGAGCATCGTCGTGCAGAACTTAATTCTTATCATAATATACAAAACCTGAAGTTACACATATTAGTTTCGAGTATGAATACGTTCATTTTCCATAAGAAAACATTGTTTATTGTAATTAACTGCCAGGAACAATACCAGTAAATATTGCTTTTCAAGAACTGACAGTTTTTGTGACAGGACGGATTGGATTTTGTTTGAGCATGCCACCAGGCGTTTCAACCTGTCAGTTTCACCTGTCATCAGGTGGTTTTGATACTCTTCTATTCAATTGTTATGAACTCCAAAGTATTGTGGTTAAGTCACTTTTCTGCTCTGATCTAGAAGAAATTTTCATCTTGAATGAAGTTTTCTGTCCCTTGTGATTAAAAGTGTGGTCTCAAAATAAAGATGAGAGAGGTTGAGGTACCAAAACGGTTTTTTTATCAATACGAAATACCTTTTTTATGCAGTACCAAAACTGATCTTGTAGGATGCCGAAAGGGTATTTTCATTCTTAAAATGCCGTTTTGGTTCTATAGGATACGGATGACTTTTTCAAAATACCCAGAAGGGTATGTTAAAGTACTGAAAAGGGTATTACAAGATACCGAATTGATTTTTCTGCTTTTTAAAAATTCTTTTTGGCTTTTAAGATACCGATTCTTTGCTATTATTTTTGACCCTTCAATTCTCATATCTGGCTTCGACTTTTTATCTTTTTTAAGCGTATCCTAAAATACCAAAACGGTAGTTTGAAAAACCCAGAACAACGTATCCTTCGATACTCCAGAAAACGTCCTACGATACCCCTAAGGGTATCTGCGTTTGAAACTAATAAGAACTACTTTTTGATTCTGTAGAAATAGAAATATCCTTAAACATATCCTGAAAAACCAAAAAAGGTACTCTAAGATACGAATAAACCGTACTTATTAGTTTCAAATGCAGATACTCATTTTTGGTTTTGTAGGATACATTTTTTTTTAGAGTGTATTTCTAACCCACCGTTGTTATAACAGTCCTCTTAGCTTTGTTGTAATAGTTAATTGACGTTATAGTGATTTATTGGCAATACCTCGGAAAAATATCCCCTACATGTTGATATGTCGCACAATGTAATATGAAGCTAAAAGTTTTTCTGGACATCTTCTGACGATTCAAAGGGGGCTGCAAGTATTTCTGATGAATTCGCGATCACAGATTATCTATTTTCTGTAACTTTTATTATCCGTAGATGATTTTTTTAATGTGGTAGAAATTGACTGCTCTCCGGCGACACCTGTCACCCAAATATAGAAAAGGTTTGCTTAACTTTTTTTCTTTCGCGTCAATAAATCAGTCATCTCTTTGAATATTTTCCCTGTCGGGTTAAAGATACTTTTCTATTTTTCTCTCTTGTGTTTGGCTTATCCATGGAATATCCGACAGGCATTTTTCCGTATTTTGTGCACGGACAGACACACAGACAGACAGGCAACCATTTTGTAATAGCCCTCGTCTACACTACAAAAGTTAAAGGAACTTTAAGCAATTCTATTGGCTTAAACTAACTTTTAGCCAATAGAATTGCTTAAAGTTCCTTTAACTTTTGTAGTGTAGACAAGGCCATAGAGCCGTATCAAATAAGGAATATCTCTATCTTTTCACACCTTGGCAAATGTTAGCAAATGTCTATATGTTAGGAAATGTGTATAGACATGTGCTAACATTTGGCATGATGTGAAAAGATAGATATTCCTTATTTGATACGCCTCTAATATCATATACTAAAGTTAATGGAAAATGTGGTGGCATCGTATATACACATCAATCATGATGACTCATTTCGATCACTGATGTGGATTGTGATATCTGTATGATATCACTACACTTTTACTGTGTCAGAAATGTTACACTTTATGGACGACGCTCCCACACTTTTATCTTGTAATAATCTCCAGCATAACCTTTCTACACTTTTGGCGTGGCAGTGTCACACTTTTGGTTTAGCCGTCGGAAAGCTTGTTTTTTTTATTGGGACTCATCGCTGCTTGTCGTCAGTTAATCTAATGTTATATTATTTATTGTGCTTTTGTGCACGTTTTTTCTAAGATTTGTTAATGGATGAATTGTGGATTTGTTTATTGATCATAAAATTGATCGTATTAGTGGCGAGTGCTATGCAAAGTTATTCAGAGAAAATGATATAACTTATCAAATCCTACTCATCTTTACGTCCTCATCACTCAAAATATGTTCGCATTCCATCTTTTGATGATGGTTTTTGTCCGCAAACGGTACGTTCTTCTTTTTTTTATTCAACTATCACTGATTGGAATAATCTCCCAGAGTTAGTTATTTGTCTTTCCTCTTTAACGTCTTTCAAAACAGCTTTACTTCAGTATCTCTTCCAGTGAAATGTTTGTCAGTTAAGAATTTATACTTGTTCTTTTTTATTTATTTTTTAAAAAATTTTTTTGCTACTTCTAGTACTAACCTTAGTTGTCTTTTTTATTTTGCTCTTTTTTATTACTTTTTTGGTGCTGTTTGGCTTGAGTTACTGTTATTACAGGTCGGTGACCTTTGATGACTCTCACTTTTCGTGAATAAACAGTTTTAGTCAGTCAACAGATCCTGAAATAAGTGATATAGAAGAGTGTATTTTTAAACAACGTACAATAAAAATGCCGTTTTTTTCGTTCTTTATTGTTACAACAGAATGGAAATTACATCGATTTAAAATAGAAGAAAAGCGTTATTTTCATCACACGTCTTTTGAAAACATTTCTCTATATAGAATGGGAAAAATTATTTTATGTGCCTAGAATTAATAAATATTTGCAGCCGTTTATCATTTTTTGTACCTGATCCAGGCACAAAAATGTTTTTGCTTGCAGTTTTTACCCGTAAAACAACAAAAATATGTAAGTAGAACAACTAAACACGGGACAATGGAGGTCCTGCTTTTCTTGGTCTTTTACGTCGATTCTGTAAATTTTGTAATTTTGCTGAATCTTTTATAGTAGTCATATGTCTTAAAATTGGCTCTACATGAACAAATCATTGGGATTGTAATGAGTCGTCCACCTTTGATTCCTTGTGTCCATAGTAATGTAGAACATCTAGTTCTACTATTAAATCTTTTCATGAACAAACTGGACACATTTCTTTTTTCCGGGTACAACAATGCTAAAACATTTTTATATACCTGCACCAGGTACAAAAGATAAACAGGTACTAATTCCGGACACAAAAAAATGTTGGTCCTATAGAATGGCAAGAATTAAATGTAAAAATTGACGATCGAAAAATGATTAAGCAAATTATTGGTGCTATTAGAATTAAAATAAAAGATAAAGTGCTTTCCTCCGACACTATAACTGAATTATCAGTTAGAACTGAAATGATGAGAGTGCAGAGTATGTAATGTGAAGTTCAAATACATTTTTAACTAAATCTTATCCCTTCTAAAAGTACGTTTAAGCTATGTTATGAAATCTAGATAAGCTTTTGAATTATATGAAGCCGAGGTTTCATGAAGGATGTAGTAAGATCATGTTCTTATAGATTTACTACAATACGTGATTATATCGTCTAGAACGTTTTAAAAATTAAGAAAGAAACATTGAGAAACAAGTTTGAAAATACTTGACAAGTCATTGTCTTTTCCTACGCTGTTAAAGTTTATGATCGATTTGCTCCCGATCGATCATAACAATAAATTATACCATTCATAATACTAAAAGGAAAAGTGTGTGACAAGTTTTACCCAACCAATAGAAAAGCGATGTCACACTTTAAGGGTTATTTTTTGGTAGCCCGGGTATGACATTGTCATGGTAAAAGTGTGTCATCATCGTCTTATGGTGGTGAGTGTATTGCGGACGCTAATGACACATTTTTATTGTAACTTCTTTGGTTAGTTTTGTCGTTATTTTTTTTTACTACTCAACTGTCTTTTCTAAATTTTGTTTTCGTTCAAATATTTCAGATTTTTACCATTCTATAAACAAAAATCTATTGTTATTTCTGTCCACTTTCTATCTTAACTAAAACAAAGAGAATTACAATAATACAATGAATGTCTTTTGAAACAAAACCAAGAAAAGTAAGCTTACTACTTCAATCCAGTGCATACCTACTTGCGGATGTTTCTTCAACTAACTGTTCAATATTCAACTTTTTAATAAGATTAATTTTGTTTAAGAAATATCGATTGTCAACTATGTTATTCTAAAGATGACAGTTAGAGATGTGCAGAGCGGCCGGTTCTCATGCCTCAGCCGTGTACACCATTGGTGAAAGCTCCACTACCACTGTACTCCAAGAATTTCTCTTGCTAAAGGCGAAAAAAAATTTTTACGTTGAAATAAAAAAAAAAGTTGATCCCAGATATGTTTAATGTATAAAAAGATAAATTTTTACTTTTTATACAAGCCAATAAAGTATGTTTTTCTTGAGATTGTCATCTAACTGCAAAAAACTGAATGATTTTTTTTTCTGTTCTGTTGGTTAGATTTTAATACATTGAAATATAAGAAATACCAGTGTGTAACAATCTGAAAAAATGGTTAAAGAGTCTTTATCACAAGTAACTATTTATGGTTACGAAAGAATGATTTATCACATACTAACATTAGATGATGCATTGAAAGAAATGAAAAAAATTATGAATGAAGTCAATGAAATAATGAATTTACCATCGTTAGCAATAGTTCGTTTATTGTTAAATAATTTTCATTGGGATGCAAATGTATTAACAGAACGTTTTTACGAAGATTCATCAGCTTTATTTCGTAGATTGAATATTGTTAATCCGTATTCTCAAACATCAAGTCCATTATCACCAAGTGATAATCCACTAACATCGAATAGTTTACAAATTTCAGATACAGTTCTATGCAAAACATGTTGTAATTATTATCCAAAGTATCAAACATATAATCTTCAATGTCAACATACATTTTGTATGGATTGTTGGCGAAGATATTTGGAAAAGAAAATAGTTCAAGATAATTGTGGTAAAACATTATCATGTCCATCAAGATGTAATTATTTAATTGAAGATGATAAAGTATTAGATTTGATTGATAATGATGAAGCTCGTCAAAAATTTAAACGTTTAATCATCGAAATATTTGTTCAAAATTATCGTAAAACAAAGTTTTGTCCTGGACGAGATTGTGAAAATATTATTAAAGGTTAGTTGTAACCCAGCGCTTTTTCAGCCAAATCCAGTGAGTCATAGGTTATCAACTATGCTGAATCGAAATATCATAGTTGATAACCTATAACCCACTATGTTTGGCTGAAAACGTGATGTGACAGTTCGTGAGGTCTCCTGGCGAGTTGTGTTTATTGATGTTCAAAAGATTATCCGATACGAAGTTCTAGACAGAATCATTAGTGAGACAACAGTTAATCATAAAAGAACAGTTTCTTATGCGAGAACGAGTTTCAGATTGTTGAAAAATCAGAAGTTTTTTCTCAGTGTGCATTGTACTATTAATTAAATCGTAATCTTTTTGTTTTTCAGTGAGTTCAAGCAATTGTGGAGCACAATTAATATCGTGTACGGATTGTAAAACAAATTTTTGTTTTGCTTGTACAGAAGTATGGCATGATCCAATACAATGTACATTATTGAAAAAATGGGAAAAAAAATGTCAAGATGAAAGTGAAACATGTCATTGGTTAGAAGTCAATACAAAAAATTGTCCGAAATGTCATACAGCAATCGAAAAAAATGGTATGTGCAAAATACTTACTATAGTATTCTAAACTAAAACTATTAAAAAACACAAAATCAATTTTGTATGAATAGAGATTCGAACATATGAAATTTATTTCTATTTATTTTTTTTACGCACACATTGTATACAACTTCGTTCAATGCGTGCGATAATACATAGGATAGTCCAAAAGTAGTGGTTTCAGTATTATATTACTCCACGGAAAGCTTGAATAAAATTTCTTCTCATCTGTCCTTGCAGTGTCAACAATGCTCTATATTTCTTCAATATATCATCCTTCACCATTTGCTATTGTTATATGAGAAAAGTTCGACGGAAGCTATGCACCCAAGTTTTAGATGAATAAAGAAAATTTTCGTTTCTACATTAAAGTGCGTACTGCACTTCACATTGAACCAAAAGTTATTCACGACGAAT